CGGAGAAGCACCGTCTTGGTGGCTAGATCCTTAATAGAGAAGCCAAGGGGGTCAAATTCAACCGAAACAGAATTATCGCGAGTAAAAGCTCGAACAGAAACTAAGTTTTTGATAAGGGAGGGAGAGATGAGAATTTCGAGAAGAGAGAGGGAACGGGAGGGAGTGTTAAGAGAAGCAGAACCTAGTCCTACAATGGGAAGAGTGGAACCATCGCCTACAACGATGGAGGAAGGAGAAGATGGGGTGGGAGAGGAGAAGGGTATACCAGCACCAGAACTCATGTGGGACGACGCGCTGCTGTCGAACACCCAGTCGCCTCCAAGAGTCGAGGGCGGCTGTACGGACATCTGGTGGAGCGCCGCGATGAGAGCGGCTTGGTCCCACTGCGGAGACGGCGCCGGGCTGGACGTGGCCTGGAGCGCGTGGTGGGTCGCGGGAGCAGGAGGTCGCGCCCCGAGGATGCCCTGGAACGTACCGGCAATAGTAGTGGGAGCAGGAGGGCGTGAGCCAGCGCCGTGGTGACCGAGAGCGGGCACGCCCCCGCCGGAGGAGGAGCCGGCGCCCGAAGACGAGTTGTGCTTGCGCTTCTTGCGGCCGCGCGACCCTGGAGAACCAGCGGAGGGGCCCGCACCTGCCGGTTGAACACCGGGCGCCGCCATGTGGAAGGAGGGGGCCGGTGCTGGAGGGCGAGCGGCGTAGAACGCGTGCGCCTGCGCCAGAAGGGCGGAGCGGGCGGCGACGCGTGCCTGACGGAGAAAGGCACGGAGCTTGATGAAGGTGGGAAGGCGCCCGCTGGTCATGTGCGGCACGGCGTGCTGGAAGCGGTTGTCGAGGCCGCGCAGGACGTTGTGGACGAGATCCCGATCCTTGACGCGATGCCCAAGGTCCCGCAGAGTGTCTGCCATCTGCTTGAGTTTGGAGGTGTAGTCGACGACGGAGAGCTCACCCTGGATGAAGCCATGGAACTCGTCGAGGAGGTAGGTGATGCGAGCATCCCTGTTGCTGCGGAAGAGGGAGCGGAGGGACCTCCAGAGCGTGTACGCCTTGTCCTTGCGGTCCGCGACAATCTCCAGGGTCGAGGGAGTCACCGTGGCGTTGTACCACGATAGGATCGCGAAGTCGGCGAGCACCCAGTCGGAGGTGGCCTGCCCCGGCGAGCCATCGACATGATGAGTGAGCCCGAACTTGGCGAGGGCGTCGAGGAACTGACGACGCCACAGGCCATAGTTCTCCTTCTCGAAGTCGAGGGTGACCATGACATGATCGCGGATGCGAAGGCTCTGGATTTGGAGAGTGGGGAGGCTCTGGGTGGCGACGGGAGGGCCGAACTCCTCGTCGGAATCAGAGCCGCCGGAGGAGAGATCAGACGAGGAGCTCATGTTGCGAGGAAGGAGTGGAGGCAGCGGAAGTTGAGGATCTAACAGGATGATACCATGCTAGAGTTGGAAAGACAGCAGGGAAAGGAAACTCGTGCAATTCTCTCTCTGTATTGATTGATTCGGAGATTACACCATATATAGCTGTACATGCCTAACCATACACACAAAGCCAGCCTTAAGACTCGGGCCACTTGGGCTTAACCCATGACTAACCCACGTACGTGCACAGACGCACGACGTGAACACACACGTACGCTAACACTGGGGTCACATCCCACTGTCATACAAACTAGATGTGGTTTCCGCATCGTTGAGCATCTCCAATAGTTCCCATATCCATAAAAAATTTGTGGTTTAGGGAAAGTAGGGCCAAAAAAGTGCTTCAACAGTTCCCGTAAACGCAATTTTCCTACAGGGTCCGGTATAATCTGCCCAACTCCCCCTCCATATAGCCATATAGGGGAAGATGACTCTTCCTGTAAAACTCGACGCCAAGTATCTTCCATGAGTACCAAGCATGTGTGTCAGAAATAACATTCTTTGAATTGTTATGTTGATACTAATACACATGCATGTGCCATTTGTATGCTTGTTTAATGGGAAATAGTAAAACAATAGCCATAGATCCATACGGGAACTGAGAACACCTCACCTACGATCTTCCCCTAAATTATATTATATGGGCTCCCCGTAAAACCACTTTTATAGAGATTTTTTTACAGAAACTATTAGAGATGCTCTTAGCACGGTGGACAAGTAGCACCAATTATTCTCCTTATAACCAATGTTTTAAATAGCGGGCTATGGCATATAGCGGTAAATTGTACATGAAATCATTTAGCGGCAACATGCTCAAACAGCTATAGCGGGGCTATAGCCAGCTATTTAAAACTATGCTTATAACTCCACAAGGCACAAAATTATGAGGCACGGTTCATAATTGCTGCCCAAAGCAAGTTCCTAGAGCATCATATTCGGTGGGTCTTGGAGCATCTCTAGCACACGTACGCTTCATATTCACAACCTCTACGAGCATCCAAGTACATTCTTCAAGGCGGATATCTGCAGTTCCTGACGAAGGATGGGCTGAGTCGGCGTCCCCAATAAGTTATTCGGAGGATTTGGAGAGACGCATGCAGTTTGGGGGTGTACAAGCAACACCTCGTCACAATGAGGTTATCATAGTTCTAATTTACCCAACTAATGTGAATTATACATTGATAGATTATTAATTTGGTTAAAGGAAACACAGAGCCATGGTGATCGAGGACCTTAACAAAAGGAGTGGCGGGTCTAACACGAGCTGCTAACGAGTAATATGCTAACGGGGGATTACCCCGAACAAGTCACACCAAGGCTAGGCGCCCCCTCTCGGTGTCTCACCATGCGCGCTGGTTAGCGGGTTATGAACTTCTGGAGGCAAGGATGTTGCCGGAGCACCACCGCATGCCGAATGGGTCGTCGACTAGCACAACTAGCACAAACCAGGTATTAG